ATCAGAAGGGATATTAATTCAAAATTATGTTATTTTAATAAATACACGTTAAAAAAAATTAAAATATTTAATTTTTAAATTATGAATTATGATTTTTTTAAAAAAATTTTTGAAAATGAAACGGACAAGCATTGATCCCATAAAATTAATATATTTCTTTTTTTATTAATTTTGTAGTTCCATCGTCTTCTTCTTCTTCTACTTCTTTTTCCCTTTCCTCTTTTTTCTTTTTTTCTTTTTTAAGATTAATGATCTATCCTTGTTCAACCGAAAAGTCAATCAAACAGTCGGCAAGGAATTAGGTAAAATGGTTGATTATTGTGAGTTGTGGGAACTTTCTAATATGTTGGCCCAGCTGATTAACACGATTGTGACTAAACTTTGAACTTTGAAGTGTGGCATCAGCACAAAAGACATTGTCAAATTATATTTGCAAATCCAAGCCCAAGTAAGGTGCTCATACTTTATTGAGAAATAGTTGTTTTCAGTTCGCCTTGCATCAGACGTAAAACCTAGGCTTTTCGGTTGCACACGACACAACTCTATTTTATTTCTTAATTTTCAATATTTTAAGTTTTTTTTTTTCACGTAAAGAAAAATGTCATCATTAAATTATTTTGATAGTTGATTTTTTTATTGTAAATTTAAAATTTTAATAGATAAATAAGTCTAATATATCTTATTGCATTTTCCATAACAAGAGAAATAACTATTTTTTATCGTTTTACTCACCTAAGGTATGTGTGTTTGTTTTTTGTTTTGAATTCAGGAACTACTAGATCAATGAAGTCATGGAAAACTTAATTTTATATGGATTTATATATATACCTAGAAATCACTGCAAAAAGAATCTTACTTTCACTTGTGAATTTAAGATATGAACAATATTTCCAATCTGTGGCAAACTGAAGACGTGAATATGGACTTCTCAAAAAAATAAAAAAATGTGAAGCAAAGAGTCAGAAGGAGAAGACGAATTTAAATGCTAGGGGCGGAGAACTTGATCACTTCAGCCCACAACATATGCTTAATTGATCATTTTAATGAGAACTAAAACAAAATATATTGATCTTTCTCACGTGAACTACCAGGGAGGCCGGTCGGGGCAACTGAGTATTCTTAAACATATAACGACTCTCTAAGCATATTGTTTTGTAGTTTACGTTTCAAGTTTTAATATTAGTATGAAATTAGTTTTTTTAACATATTAGATTAATTTAGAAATGGGTTCTTAAAATTGTCAATTAAAAAGAGATTAATTTTGAAATGTACAAAAATTAACCTAAAAACACTTATATATATATTAAGATAAAAATCTCGGGATATAGAAAAAACATAGGAGACTCAGAAAAACCAAAAAGAGACGCACCGCAGATCACAAGAAAAAAAAGCTCCCCGAACATGCTTCATCAATAATAATAAAAAAAGACAAAACACTACTAAAGAAAAAAAGATATCTCCACACACAAAAAAACATCGTGATAATACACATATATATATATAAAATAAAATCACTTAGGACACCATTACTTTCCGTATTTGGTTCCATTGCATAACATAGAAGAATGCTAAAATTCTGCTCCATGAACAAGAAAAGGAAGGGGACCAACCCTTTATTTTTGTCCATCAACCAAATTTAGTATATATCGGTTTTTCGCGACATTACATGTCAGCAGTTAGAGATTGCAAACCTTGAACACTTCATCAAACCATTCAATTATTATTAGTGATTACTATGAGTTTCTTTCTTCTTCTTCTTCTTCTTAATTCTGACTTGAGTAGGCTTTAAATTGAATATTTTATGAGTAACAATAATTTTATTAATATTTATACTATAAGAGGAATTGTAACCCTTAAATATTGTACCAACAAAACATTTTACATATTTTCATAATGATCAAAAGATACTTATTAAGCCTCTAAAGGATGTTTTAATTATTAAAGGACTTTTTTTTTCAACAAGAATAGGGGATGGGTTTTTTTTTTTTTTTTAAAAAAAGAAAAAGAATATCATCTTCTACCTAATCAATTGTAAAATGTACCAAAAAAATCTTCTTCTAGTTATTTCACAAACAATACTTTCAAATTTTTTTTCTTTTTTACATTATAAAATGTCTTTTATTTCTTATGCAATCCTTTGTTCCTTAGAAAGAAAAAAAAAAAAGGTATAAGGATTAGTAAAAATCAATAAAAAAGGGTAAAACAGAATAATGTCACTAATTACAAATATAAAAAATATGAACTGAAGCATGCATCAATGACACTTTCTTATTATGACATTTCGTGTCACTAGTACAAAGACTTTCATAGTCACGCTGCCTGGCTGCTTACAGTCTCTTAGTAGGCAACCAAAAAATTATGATACTAATTTGGAATGGCTAATCAAATCAAAAAAATGTTGTGAAGTTAAAATCATATAAAATGAAACGACTAATTATCAACAACCTAAGTAATTTAGTAATTATCTTTTTTCGTTAGAAGTAAGAAATCCTAAATTTGAATCACATAACATATAAATGAAGTGAGATAAGAGATAATTGTCTTTCATTGTGCAATCAAAAAAAAAAAAAAAATGAAAAGACTGAGCAAATTATTTTGAACGGTTTATTTGAAACTAATGAGGTTTTGTAAAATTTTAATTAGAATTTTTTAAGAAGTGCGTGCTCACTTAAACATATCTACATTTCCAATTTTTAATTAAATTTTTTTATAAAATCTCATTGTAATTTTCGTTTGGATATACTATGATACTTTCAACTTAATGTTAAGATTACTAAAAATTCCCGATAAAAAATAACTAAAACACAATACACATAATACAAATCTGATCACTTAAACACAATACACAAAACCAGCAAAAACTTAAAGAAATTAAACCTGCTATTTACAAAAATCAAAACTTTAAAATTCTTGGACCTTAGCCCCTAAAACTTTAACAATTTAATCTAAGGTCTCATTCACTTTAGTAACTTTTTTTTTTTAATAATGATTATAATACAGGCATAGTGCATATATACAAATTGTACACTATATAAATATTTTTACATTTATCAAAACAAACATAAATATTTTGATTTAATACAGTGTAAAAACCAAAAAAAAAAACTCAACATATACGTGAGCTAAACTCTTAATTTTATCGTTATATAGTCTTAATCTTCATTACTAAATAAAAAACGTAATTGATCACTCACTTTAATAACTCTTTTCATAAAATATACCATCTAAATCAATCAAGAGCATTATAATAGGAACAGATCCAAAAGCTTAATATGAAATGACAATTGCATCACAGTCATGAAAGGAAACCTACCGCCTCCTCTCCTTCTCCCCACGACTCTAAGTAGCACCAAGACATCCAACGCAAACTGTAAAGTGAAAACAAACAAAATCTCCCATCTCCTTTTATCACGTAAAATAAGTCCATTCTTTCTTTGTAAGGACATTCTCATATTCTCATCATTCATCATCATCTCACTGCATTTAAAGTATTTGTTTCTTTGACGAAAAGGAAAGGGGCATCGAAATTTTTATTTTATATATAAATTGACTAGATAACATAATCAATGTATTTTATTTCACTAACTCATTAATTATATATTACTACGAGGTATTAATAGAAAATTATTGTGTTAATTACCTAAATAATTTAACGATTATCTCCTTCTGTTAAAAGTAAAGATTTTGAGTTTGAGTCGCATTACATATGAGTGACGTGCGATAAAATATATGAGATGATTATCTCTCATTGTATAACCAAAATAAAAAAAAATTGTATTATTATTTCTTTCAAACACCATGAAATTGATTAATTATTTTATTTTTATACATATGTAATCAAGCACACAACAAATTCTAGTATATTAACAAAAGTTTTTATTATTTTATAGTTTAGATGGTCTTACTTTATAAAATAAAAATTATTGAAAAAAAATACAATTTCTAACATCAAAAAATTTATTTTTATTTAATAATTTAAATTATATAATTCAATTTAATTTAAACTGTATAATATATTGTTTAATCAAAAAAAACTGGGAGGGCAAAATTGAAATTTCAAGCTTTACTTTTGTAACTTGCAAAAAATCGTTCTGTGTCCTATCACATAAAAAATTTTACCGTGTCAAATTTTTGTTAATGTATCTTTAAATTTACCATGTCAACTTTCTATTGATTAGATATAATGAGCCCTGAAACATGCTAGACTTTTTCTAAGCATAAAGCCAAACATTTGTAAATACTCCTCTGGTCTGTTTTAATGGTTAAGGTTTAACTTTTACAGAAAAATTCTTTTTTTCTATTTTCACATATATATATCTAGTATAGTCATTAATTTATGAGTTATTTCTTTTATAATTTAAACTATACTAAATTATAAAATTAAAAAATTTAAATTGTATTAAATGATAAAATTTAAGAATTCATCACTCATTTAATATTTATTAAATATTGTTCAACTTAATATAACTCAAAATAAATAATGTTTTTTTATTGATTTATTATATAAAATTATCCAATTAATTAACAAAGAATCGAGGGGCTATAAGTAAAAAGTATCTAATTACGCTATTAATATACTCTGCAGATCGTTCTCCATCTTTCCTTTTTCCCTCCCTCGAAACTATGGAGTGTAAATAAGATAATGTCATAATGTGGATGATCAGGAGCAATAAATTTGGAAAACCCATCTCCCAATTTCGTATCTTGGAATTGAAGTAAACAATTCTGAAACAAAAACCCTAAAAAGGTAGCTAATTTTGGGTATAATACTATAATGGGTGAAACGAATCACTGAAGTGATTTCAGATTACTGTCACTTTAGTGATCTTTCATGGGATGAATTTTATTTTTTGTGCAGTTAACAGTTAACCTGCTTTTTTTTTGTACCTTTTTTCTCTTTCTATTTGCCTGTCTACTTTTGCTACAGTATCCTCTCTTTCCAAAATGCTTTTTCTTTTCTCTCTTATATATATATATATATATGAGGTTCTGCTCGTATTCTAAAATCAAAGATCGTTGGTTTGGGAAGTGTAGGTGGCGGTGGTGCTCTCTCGCTATCTGAAAAACTCTGGGCGGAGAGCTACAGCATCGGATTGATTGACAGGCGGCGTCTTTACCTCGGCAATCACCACCGGGTTGTGGAAACGATTTCCAAGGACAAGACCCAGGTCAGTTTTTGCCTTTTTTTGGCGTTTTCTGATGTGGGGTTTCATTCATTCCATGTTTGTACCCCTTTATTCTCTGGGGCATAACAGAGATAGGGGGGAGAGAGTCGTTTGTGTTCTTTTATTCTTGGTTTCCCGTGATTATAAAAATCTGTTTTGTTTTCATGTGCAATGTGTCTGCAGATTTTATCTCCAAATAACCCATTTTGTTTTTGGTATTGTTGGTTGTTTCCCGCATTGTGCAGATGGTGAGATGCCCTTCTTCATTTCAATTGATCTCTCTTCCTGCTTAACTCGACGACAGCAACAATACCAAACCGACCGACTCACTTCGTTTCTTCTCATTCTGCTTCTTCACAAACTCTCCTTGTTCGATGATGGGTATCAGCCTTTTGCTCAATAACATCTTAGCTTTGTCACCAGCTTCCCAATCACATTTTGTCTTCTGGAGAGCCATCCAAGCTTTGCCCGTCTTTGAACTAGCTTCAATTTGCCTGGATTTGACACTTCTTCTCGTGTTTCTTTTCATAATTTCTGCAAGGCAGATATTTGTCTGTGTTGGTCGAATTGACTTTGCTAAGGATGATTCCGTTGCCAATTCGAACCAAATTAGACGCAGTGTTAGTGTTGATGGAGACATTCGTGAGGTTGTTGTTGGTACTGGGTTCAAATTGACGGTGCTTTGTTGTTTCTATGTGTTGCTTGTGCAAGTTGGGGTGCTTGGTTTTGATGGGGTTGGTTTGGAGACACAGGCTGTTGATGGAACGGTTGTGGATTGGTCTGTTATCTTCTTGCCCACGGTACAGGGTTTAGCTTGGTTTCTATTGAGCTTTTCAGCTCTTCATTGCAAATTTAAGGTGTCTGAGAAATTCCCACTGGTGTTGAGGATATGGTGGTTTGTTTCCTTTGTCATTTGTCTGTGCACTTTGTATGTGGACTGGAGAGCATTTGTTGTAGAAGGTTCAAACCACTTGTCTTCTCATGTTGTGGCAAATTTTGCCGAAACCCCAGCTCTAGCATTTCTTTGCTTTATTGCAGTTAGAGGTGTGACTGGCATTCAAGTCCGCAGAAACTCTGATCTTCAGGAGCCACTGCTTCATGAGGAAGAGGCAGATAGTCTTAAGGTTACGCCTTATAGTGATGCTGGGCTCTTGAGCTTGGCCACTCTTTCTTGGCTAAATACACTTCTTTCTGTTGGAGCAAAGAGACCGCTTGAGCTTAAGGACATTCCTCTTCTTGCACCAAAAGATCGAGCCAAGACTAATTATAAGGTTTTGAATTCAAACTGGGAAAAATTGAAGGCAGAAAACCCTTCAAAGCATCCATCTTTAGCTTGGGCAATTTTGAAGTCCTTTTGGAAGGAAGCAGCTTGTAATGCAGTCTTTGCTGGGTTGAACACACTTGTTTCGTATGTGGGCCCATACATGATTAGTTACTTTGTTGATTATTTAGGAGGAAAAGAGACTTTCCCTCATGAAGGATATGTTCTTGCTGGAATTTTTTTCACTTCCAAGCTTGTGGAGACCCTAACAACCCGACAATGGTACCTTGGGGTTGACATTTTGGGTATGCATGTGAGATCAGCTCTAACAGCAATGGTATACCAAAAGGGACTAAAGCTTTCAAGCTTGGCCAAACAAAGTCACACCAGTGGAGAAATTGTTAATTACATGGCAGTTGATGTTCAGCGAGTAGGTGACTACTCTTGGTATCTTCACGACATATGGATGCTTCCTCTGCAAATAATTCTTGCCCTTGTGATTTTGTATAAGAATGTTGGAATAGCTTCTGTTGCTACGTTAATTGCAACTATTGTATCCATCATTATTACTGTCCCTTTGGCAAAGGTCCAAGAAGATTATCAAGACAAGTTAATGGCTGCCAAGGATGAGAGGATGAGAAAAACTTCTGAATGTTTGAGGAACATGAGGATTTTGAAATTACAAGCTTGGGAGGATAGGTATCGGGTGAAATTGGAGGAGATGCGTGGTGTGGAGTTCAAGTGGCTTCGTAAAGCCCTATATTCTCAGGCATTTATTACATTCATCTTTTGGAGCTCCCCAATATTTGTTGCTGCTGTCACATTTGCAACCTCTGTACTGTTGGGAGGTCAGCTCACAGCAGGCAGTGTTCTTTCTGCTCTGGCTACCTTTCGTATCCTTCAAGAACCACTCAGGAATTTTCCTGATCTGGTGTCTATGATGGCTCAGACAAAGGTTTCTCTTGATCGAATTTCTGGATTCCTGCAGGAGGAAGAACTGCAGGGAGATGCCACCATTTTTCTGCCACAGGGCATGTCAAATGTAGCCATAGAAATTAAGGACGGTGAATTTTGCTGGGACCCCTCTTCTTCTAGGCCTACATTGTCTGGAATACAAATGAAAGTAGAAAAGGGGATGCGTGTGGCAGTTTGTGGAATGGTTGGTTCTGGAAAATCAAGCTTTCTATCTTGCATCCTTGGGGAGATACCTAAAATCTCTGGTGAAGTAAGTTAGTTCATGGAACTTTTGTTTCTTTTCTATTCTATCTTGAATTTTATCTTGAATTTTATCTTTTGTTAGTTTTTTTTTTTTTTCTTTTTTCTACTTTTGGTAGGACTTGAAAAAACTTCTGATTCTTTGACATTTGAATAGGTACGAGTTTGTGGTACTTCTGCCTATGTGTCTCAGTCAGCTTGGATACAGTCTGGAAATATTGAAGAGAATATACTTTTTGGCAGTCCTATGGATAAACCAAAATACAAGAATGTTCTTCATGCTTGCTCTCTGAAGAAGGACCTGGAACTGTTTTCGCACGGAGATCAGACCATCATCGGTGATAGGGGTATAAATCTGAGTGGTGGTCAGAAACAACGTGTTCAGCTTGCAAGGGCTCTTTATCAAGATGGTGACGTATATTTACTTGATGATCCATTCAGTGCTGTTGATGCACACACTGGCTCAGAACTTTTCAAGGTTAGATTTCAATCAAAAGTATGAGATGTATTGCTGTTCACATAGATACAGTTTGATCAAACATTTAGTTTGGATTGCAGGAATACATAATGACAGCACTAGCAGGCAAGACTGTCATTTTTGTGACTCATCAAGTTGAGTTTCTTCCGGCTGCTGATTTGATACTGGTACGGAATAGTTTCTAAATATTGTTTCTGCTTGTACTCTAGTCTCCAGTCAGTTTGTATTAAAGTGCTTTTCCTATTTGGATAAATATGAGGCAAATGTCATAAGTTTAGACCCTTGTATTTTTTACTGTAAGCCTACTTCTCAACTCAGCAAGCAAATACATTGTCTGTTAATTTTGTTAGGTTCTTTTTGCAAAATTTTGATGAATCTTGAGATAGGGGAAGTTGTGAGATGTCAGTTTTTAACTCCTGTTTTCTTTTGCATGTTAGTTCACTTCTGCCATTTTACATCTAGCATATGCATGACGAGAACAGTGCTCAATTTCTTTCTCCAGAACACATCTGGATGTGAGTGCTGATTTGTAGTTCTTTTAAATGATCGAATGAGTTTGCTCTGTGAAATGCTACAGCAGATACTTAATGAGATACAAGACATCCTGAACTAACTTATGGCACAACTGTATTTTTTAAGTATCTCAATATTGAAGTAGAAAGAAGGAAAGAACATCAGAGACTAGTTATGCTGTTGAAGAATAACTCAAATGTGAAACTAGTGAACAAGATGTTTGATGTTCATCATTCAATTCTTCTTGATATGACTTTGAAATTTCTTTGAAACTATTTATGGAATACCAGTGGCTGGTATCATGATTTTGTTGTACCTGTGTCAGTTGTAATATTTCAATCTTGAAGATAGTTGATACTACTATTTACTCTATGGTCTGGAAAACTGTTCTCAAATGTTGACCTCTTCTCCTGCAGGTCCTTAGGGAAGGCCACATCATACAGGCAGGAAAATATGATGATCTTTTACAAGCAGGAACTGACTTTAGAACTTTGGTATCTGCTCATCATGAAGCAATTGAAGCAATGGACATCCTAAATCACTCATCAGAAGACTCAGATGATAATATTCACCTTGATGGGTCAATTGGACTAAATAAAAAATGTGATGCATCTGGAAATGATATTGCTAGTTTGGTAAAGGATGTGCAAGATGGTGCGTCAGCTTCAGAGCAGAAAGCAATTAAAGAGAAAAAGAAAACAAAGCGTTCAAGGAAAAAGCAGCTTGTTCAAGAAGAGGAAAGGGTAAAAGGAAGAGTCAGCATGAAGGTTTACTTGTCATACATGGCAGCAGCATATAAAGGCTTTTTGATACCTCTCATAGTTCTTGCACAGGCATTATTTCAGTTTCTTCAAATAGCTAGTAATTGGTGGATGGCTTGGGCAAACCCTCAAACTGAAGGGGACCAAGCGAAAGTCAGCCCTATGGTGCTCCTTGTTGTATACATGGCCCTTGCATTTGGCAGCTCCTGGTTTATCTTTGTTAGGGCTGTTCTTGTAGCCACATTTGGTCTGGCAGCTGCTCAAAAGTTGTTTCTTAAGATGCTTAAAAGCGTGTTTCAAGCGCCAATGTCATTTTTTGATTCTACTCCAGCTGGGCGGATCTTGAATCGTGTAAGTATTTGTTTTCAGTGGAAAAATGAAATTTGAATCTGCTCTTGATCTGTTTGTCTTCTCCCAACTACTTTTCTCTTTCATTTGCCTTTTAACTTATAGATCATTTATGACCTCACAGGTTTCTATTGATCAAAGTGTGGTGGATCTTGATATTCCTTTTAGACTTGGTGGGTTTGCTTCAACGACAATACAGCTTCTTGGAATTGTTGCTGTAATGACCAAAGTTACCTGGCAAGTTCTGCTCCTTGTTGTTCCAATGGCTGTTGCTTGCTTGTGGATGCAGGTGATAATTTCGGCTTGGGCTTCTAGTGTTAAGCTTCATTGGTTTACAGAGAATAGATGTGGAAATTGAAAGCATCTCAGCATTAGCTCTTTTTTTTTTTGGAAGCTCTAATTCCATTTCTTTCTTTTTGGTCCAAAACAGGGGCCCAACCATCAGATTTTTAAGACTAATAATTCATAGATCCACCTCACATCAACCTAAAACTATTTCACTAGTTATAGAAGATTTTAAGTTTTACTTAAATCACCATGGAAGCCTTACCTTATTTAATTTGAGGTGAACATGAATTTTTGAAATCATTACTCTCTTAGTGTTCTGATTTCTAATTTAATAAAAAATCTTTGTTTTACCTTTTTGGTAAAATGTTGAGGGATGTATAGTCTTAATTCATGTATTTTTGGTTGCAGAAATACTATATGGCTTCATCAAGAGAACTGGTCCGCATTGTTAGCATCCAGAAATCTCCAATCATTCATCTTTTTGGGGAATCTATTGCAGGAGCAGCCACAATAAGAGGTTTTGGGCAAGAAAAGCGCTTCATGAAGAGGAACCTTTATCTTCTTGATTGTTTTGCTCGCCCATTCTTTTGCAGTATTGCAGCAATTGAATGGCTCTGCCTACGCATGGAGTTCTTGTCAACCTTTGTGTTTGCTTTTTGCATGATTTTACTCGTGAGTTTTCCACATGGAAGTATTGATCCAAGTAAGTAAATTGTTTCTTCATTCCTTAATTTTTATTTTTTTCTTGTGAGAAATCTGGTACTATTAGGGAGTCTGTAGTGGTGTGAAATATAATGTAAATCTTATTATGTACCATTAAGTGGGAAAATAGCACATCTATAAATTATAGGGAAACTTTTGGATTGCTCCACCTATTGCTAATTGGTTTTAAGTTGGATGTTTGTAAATACAAACAGAGAACTACATGTTAAGTTTGAACTAACAAAAATTAGAAAATTCAAAATTGTTAATTGCATCTGAAGATCCTGGCTTTGCCTTGTTTTAGCTTCCATTTTTTCCTAGGAGAGGTGTCATTGGAAACTAATCCTAAATTGGAGAAATTGATTTGTATTGTGACTTTTGACTTGGCTGCTTTTGAGCATCAGCCTGAGTAGGAACCCTTCTAAATATACAGCGCCAAGGTGTTCCATGTCATGAGGTAGCTGATCTTGACAAGCGTGGACTAAGGCTTGGCTTTAGTTGTCAAGTTTCACGCACTTCAGTATTCCAGTTCAATTACAAGGTGTATAAATATCTAGTGTAGAACTATAATGATCTCTTTACAGTATTGTATTGATGCTAACAAATTAAAATTTTAGTTTTGAACCATTATTATAATTTTCTGATGCTCATCATGGTTTCCCTTTCTCAATAGGCATGGCAGGTCTGGCTGTGACATATGGTCTTAATTTAAATGCACGCCTATCGCGGTGGATTCTTAGCTTTTGCAAACTTGAGAATAAAATTATTTCCATAGAGAGGATTTATCAGTACAGCCAAATTCCAGGTGAAGCCCCACTAGTTATAGAGGACTCTCATCCTCCACCCTCCTGGCCAGAAAATGGTACTATTGAGTTGATTGATTTAAAGGTAAGTTTAGTTTCTTATGCATCCTATCTCTAGGGTAAACTACAATTCTCAAAATATCATTCCCATATTTGAAGGTGCCTTCAAAGTTTAAAGCAACGTTAGTGTCACTTTACGAAGTTGAGGCTTATTTTCTACTTACTAATTCCATTTGAGCATCATATGGGAAATGTATTGTCTTCAACAAGTCCATATGTTTGTCATGTGGTAATTATTCTGACTTAATTAAGTTCATATACTCACCTAGTGGAAATGATTCTTATTTCAATAACTATGTATCACTTTGTGATATGATTATGTCTTTGGCAGTGCCTGCATATTACATTTTTCTATTCTTGTGCATAAGTTCCTCACTCAAATGCTGGTAAAGATGTTTCCTTATTTTGTTTCCTTATTTTGTTTCGAATTGTAGGAACTGCTACCTGATTGGTTAGTGTAAGTTCTAGGGGTCAGGAAATGGTGAATTAATTACTCAAAAGAAACCACTGAAAGAAAATTAGGTAAAGGAACCTGTATTTGAAATCCAGTCAGTCTAGAGAAATAGAGATTTTATCACATTGGACCCCATTTGTTCAAGAATTGTTGTAAATGAGAAAATTAAAAGTTGTTCATTGACAACTAAAAAATATTTCGTTTCAACCTATAGTGATTTCTATTGTATTGCACATCAGACAAAATGCTGAATCTTCCTTTTTTATGTTTGCTTATTTGAAGGTTCGCTATGCTGAGAATCTTCCTGTGGTGCTTCATGGAGTAACCTGTGCATTTCCTGGTGGAAAGAAGATAGGAATTGTTGGGCGCACTGGAAGTGGTAAATCTACTTTAATTCAGGCATTGTTCCGATTGATTGAACCAGCTGGTGGAAGGATCATTATAGACAACATTGACATTTCAAAAATTGGTCTCCATGACCTTCGCAGTCGTCTTGGTATCATTCCCCAGGATCCTACATTATTTGAAGGAACTATTAGAGGCAATCTTGATCCTCTTGAGGAGCATGCAGATCATGAGATTTGGCAGGTAAAATTTAACTCACATCACTTGTTCTCCTAAGATGGTAACTATGCCATTAAACTAACTATTTTGATTGTCTGCGTTAAACAAATATGACTGTTAGTTATTTGATTTTTGTCCTTTTCAATGGTTCTTATATCGCAGTGTTGAAATATGTGCCATGTCCTTGAATGATTTATATTATCATATCCTTGTGATGTGCTCTCAATTTGATGTGGACTTTTATTTGTCCCAGGCACTTGACAAGTCTCAGCTTGGAGATATAGTCCACCAGAAGGAGCAAAAGCTTGATACACCTGGTTTGTACCATACCTTCTGGATACATTAAGGTCAAATGGTATATTCGCATACACACTGCATGCACACAAGTACATATTATAGAGTTTGGTGATTGAAATTGCTTACTTCAATGTAATATTGCAGTGTTAGAAAATGGAGATAACTGGAGTGTAGGGCAGCGGCAACTTGTTTCCCTGGGCAGGGCTTTGCTTAAGCAGGCAAGAATATTGGTGTTGGATGAAGCAACTGCATCCGTAGATACTGCAACCGACAATCTCATACAGAAAATCATCCGAACAGAGTTTAAGGACTGCACGGTGTGCACCATTGCTCATCGTATTCCAACAGTTATTGACAGCGATCTAGTTTTGGTACTAAGTGATGGTCTGTAGCTGATCTTTTCCAACAAAATTGGAGGCACTCGTTCCTAATTTATTGTCCCATTTCTATACTGTGCTTATCAAACTTCCTTTTTCTTATCTTCTCTCTTATGGGATATGTTTCCAGGTCGAGTTACAGAGTTTGATACTCCAGCACGTCTCTTAGAGGATAAATCATCCATGTTTCTAAAGCTGGTAACGGAGTATTCATCAAGGTCAAGCGGCATACCAGAATTTTAACAAATGGCATGCCCAACATTCTAGTCAGAGGCAGCAGGAGCAACAAAAGTAATCCCAGAATGAAGTGGCCAACTACTGCTTCTTTCTCTTAGCTTCGCTGCCCTCGGCAAACTCAAGAGACAAACGGAAGGACAAAGGGTGCTATCATGTCATTAAACCAAACCCCCAAGCAGCAGAAGCAAACTTTTCTCAAGGTGATTTGCATTAAGCTGTACAGGGAAAGGAAATTGATGCATGGTTGGCAATCTGGCATACGTTGTAACGGGAAAATAAGTCAGATGGTAATAATTACACGAAAAATGAGCGTATATTTTGTTCAATGATGTGCAATAAATTAGTGCTTAGATGAAAGCAGGCGTACGGAGTCTAGTTAGGGAATTTTTAGAGTGAGTGGTAGACTGTTGACACTAAAAATTTTGTTTTTTCGTCCTGTGGTAGCATACTTCAGTTATTGTTGGCTTTTAAATGATAAATTTTGGTTCATTTCAATCCTCTCCTTTTATTTGTTATCGAAAGCAATGTAGTCCATGTTTTTCTTAAGCACAGGAGAAGGTAATATATCTACTTGACCTGGTCAAAGTACTTACAAGAATCAAGTATACCGGCATGTATTATTCCTCACTCGCAATGCAATGTAGCAACATATATAATTGGTTCTTTCCATATATGGATTTTATGGTCGCATATGTAATCTCTTGTTTGTTTGGAAGTAACATTGCGGTATAACACCCATAGCCTAGTCCCTATTGAGGGGAAGGTGTTAAAGACACTTAATTCCTTAGTTTTAAACGCAGGCACTGTCATCCCCATCCTAAAAGTTTCACTACTTCAAAATACATATATATACATATCCATACATATATATATAGCATTGCCATTTTGGAAGAGAAAATAGGAAAGTGAAGTGCAATTTGTTTTGTACGTACTACAATTCACTTTAATCATGAATGGAGGAGACAACTCCCTAATACTAAAACCCACCTCATATAGGGGTGGTAACAGGACTCTACAGGATCGAAGAGTCTCTCTCTATCTTCGTCCTCATGAATGGTAAGTATGAAGATCCTCACAGAAATTTTTAACAGAGTAGATTTTGCCTCTATTCCCATTATTTGCGGGGATCTCATTCCTCATCCAACCTATACAAAAATGTGAATTTTTTCACATATAATCAACTAATATTCAGTTAAAATGAACAAAGTTTTAAAAGTTCAAGATTAACTAAAATTTTCTAAACATAAAATCAAATATAAATTGTTCAAAAATAAATAAATATTAATCCAACATAAATAATAAATCAACATAAGACTTGTATTTTATACAACAGTAACAATATCCAAATTTCACCTCTGTAAAAATACAATTAATTGTAACCAGTAAGGTCAATGAATATGTGGTAAAATCAAATATAAATAAAAATCAATCCAACATAAATAATTAAACCAAACATAAGTTAAATTATGTAAAATTGAGTTAAATTAATTTTTAATGAGTTAAATTTAAAATATATTGTGATATATTTGGTTGAATTAAACTTAAAGTAAAATTAATTCATATATTTTTCTAATTTTTTTGTAGGGATGGGATTCCTACAAGACTCTAAAGTAGGAAAGAAAAATTTCCATATAAATTCATAAGAAAAAAACATCCTCCATTCTTATACATGAGAAGAAATATTCCATTCCACCCCCACCGCACCCCACTCTCGTGGCAGGGATCCCACAGGGCCTGCAGGGATGAGACATGAGAGGGAATTGTCACCCCTTTCCCCCATCAATGTTACAGTCCGAGCAAGGCGGACTGAAAAACAATATTCTGACGGAAAAATTAGTGAATGGATCTCTTACATTTTTAGAGAAGCCCAAAATCATATTGGGTTGAATGTGACCTTTGACTCATGGACTATATAGCCCATATCAACTCTCACCCGGACTCGACCCAAGTCCAATCTGACTTCACCCAGTCACCGTCCTATTTCTTTGTCACACCCAAAAGGAAGCCTTTCTTTCTTCTCCGGTGAAACTGAGCTGACAAAGATGCTGGCAATTTCTCGACGTTTAGCGCAAGAATCTCTCCGGCCGGCGGCATCCGCTTCTTCTCTCAAGTCACTCTACCCTCTACCCCATTACTGTAGCTACCCATTTCCTCATTTCACTCGTAATTTCCATCTTCTTTTAGGGTTTGCATTCTTCATTTCATTGCGATTATCGAATCTGCAGATAATGGAGCTGATCATCCACGATACGGATCTACACTTACCCCCAAGGGCGTCGGCCACCTCATTCGCAAGGGTACTGGTGGACGATCCTCAGTTAGGTAATCTATCTTGCTCCTTTTTTTTTCCTATCGCCTGTTTGGTTACCCAGAAAATTAGAGTTGATTTGGGAATTAAGATTTTCCTTTTTGCAGTGGCATTATTGCTACGGTGTTTGGAGCTACTGGTTTCCTAGGTCGTTATGTTGTGCAACAACTTGGTAAGTCAAATGCAAATCTTCTTTTTTTTTGTCTCTCCAATCCTTATTCTGAAGGAATTTGGTGCATTTTCTGTTGATAGCTGTGTATGTTTATGGATGCTTTTACTTTAATTTCAGCTAAAATGGGATCCCAGGTGCTAGTTCCTTTCCGGGGTTCTGAGGATTCTCCTCGTCACCTCAAGTTGATGGGAGATTTGGGACAGGTAGAGCAGCAGGGTCACAGTGTATTTTATTTGCTTGAATTTTATATTTTTGTAGTTACAAGTACTCTACTTTGTCTTGCTTATATTCTGCTATTGCTGTCATGTTTTACATACTCAGATAGTGCCAATGAATTACAATCCAAGGGATGAGAATTCAATTAAGGCTGCGATGGCAAAGGCAAATGTTGTTATCAATCTTATTGGTATATGTTGCTCTTATTTAATTTTACCTTTTGCATGTATTGAGTTGGAGGTGTTTGATTTAATCATGGTTATAATGGCAGGAAGAGAGTATGAAACAAGAAATTATAGCTTTGAGGAAGTGAATCATTTCATGGCAGAACAGCTTGCTGAGGTATGTAGAGACTCCAATCCTTTTACATGTATTCAGATTGCTTTGAGCAAGGTTCTCATTCCAATTCCTTTTATGGCTTTTTTTGGTTGCATTTGGGCGGTCCTTGTGTATGGTTAATTAGTCCTCTATGGGAATGTAATGGCACACTAACTCGTTTTTTCCTTTGATGAGGGGGTAGGGGTTATTTGCTTGGGTTCAATTCTCATAGCAACTCACTTTGTAAGCTCTAGCATGCATCATTCATTTGGGTTTTCTTCATATGAACAATATATGGTTTGTGTATCATGTTGTTGTTATCTTTGATTAATTGATGACTTATACTGAATCAAAATTTGTTTGCCTTGTTTGTTGCTTGTGGGTCATTTTGTTTTCTTTCTTAATTCTTCCAGATTGCCAAAGAACATGGTGGTATCATGAGATTTATCCAAGTTTCTTGCTTAGGCACCTCTCCATCATCTCCATCAAGAATGCTAAGAGCTAAAGCTGCTGCAGAGGAAGCCATACTAAGAGTGTTACCTGAGGTAATTATTGTTTATGTGCTACAGCCACAGATGTTGATGTTGGATAAATAAATTTTATCACAATTAGCATCAGAGTGAACAAGTTTGTGATGCAATTTGGAAAGATTTATTACCAGTAGAGCATATGGCCATAACCCTGACCTTAAACTCTGGCCATATTTTGTTTCTTTCTTCTGTCATATTTCAAAATGTGATTCTAGAAACCCAGAGTTCATCTGTGGTGGTTTTCTGAAGGAGACATTCCAACCAAATAGACAGGGATTAATACTTTTTCCCTTTTCATCCCCTACCCAAAACAATTTTCCTACCTCCAAAAAATAGAGGGAGAAAGAGAGAGAAGAAGAAGAAAGTGGCATTCTGGAGTCTAGTTTTATATAGGCAAGATTGAGAATAAAGGAAACAGTGTTTTTGGGAGTAGGGGTTTTAGCTTAGTATTGTGGCCAAAGTGGTTTTTTTAACTTGTGTTAAAGATGAGCTTCAGTCTGTAAATGGGTTTTATAAATTGCAGGTGTTTCTATGGCTCTAGCTTGTAATTAGATACTTATGAATTGGTTTTGGACTTAATGAGAAGGTTTGATGTTTCTTCTAAGATATGCTGGAATAATGTCCACATAGGTAGCTTGTCATTCTACTAAATAGTAGCAACTATATTAGAATCCAGATGCATCCTAAACCTAAGTGCAAGATACGAGAAATGCAGAATTACATTTTCCCTGAGAAAATAAGAGCTACAGCCTGAGGATGTTTGGAAGGGGCAGTGGGAAACAGTGGTAGGATGACCAAAATCTATGCTGCCAAATTTTAGATGTTGACTTTTGCTTTTGTTAAGTGGAAGAATCTCACATTAGTGAGGTGAGGGAACCTTGGGCTTAGATGCAATTTATTGCCAATTGGTTGTAGGCTAGATGTTTGCATATTTCAGCCTCTGATCAAAAGAAAATAAACTATTGCTTGCTTTCAACAATAACACACCTTTTAATATATTCTTCCTTTTACAGGCCACTATCATGAAACCTGCTACAATGATTGGTACTGAGGATAGGATTTTGAATACATGGGCTCACTTCGCAAAGAAATACAGCTTTCTTCCACTTATTGGTGATGGATCTACCAAGTAAGTTTTGATTATTAGTTCAAACTTCAGAGCCTTTTAATTGTGGGTTTTGTTTGGTTAGTGGATAGATGGGTACATGGGGGTTTGGAGATTTTTTACTTAAGCTTGCTGGGATTTTTTGGGTCCCCTTTCCTGGAATTTCTCTTTCCATTTTCCTGATAACTCACTTCTATGCAGAATCCAGCCTGTATATGTTGTCGATGTTGCAGCTGCAGTTGTTGCGGCCCTGAAAGATGATGGCACTAGCATGGGAAAAGTTTACGAGTTGGGTGGACCAGAGATCTTTACTGTGCATGAATTGGTAAGATTTTCCCTTTTTGTCAATCTCTTGTAGGCATTGCAATGCTTTGTCAATTCTACTGAACTTATATCCCTGCAGGCAGAGCTGATGTATGAAACAATTCGTGAATGGCCCCGCTATGTGAAAGTACCCATTCCAATTGCAAAGGTAAAATGCACAATCTTTTCTAGTTGGGTGAACAGGTTATATACCAGATGAGTTTACTTCAAATTTAAGAAAAATTACTTAATTACATAAACAATATCTTAGCTTTTATAATTTATGCTGACTGTTGTCTAAAGTTGCTGTGTATCCTGCATTATTATTTCTGAAAGGGGCTTATCCATAGTAATGAGATGGCTATACTGGCATCAAAAGTTTCAGAATAAATGAATCACTTATGTGCTTATGTAGTGCCTTGATTAAAAAGTATCTTATCTTTTAACCATATAGGAAATTTAGTCCACAAGCAACATTTTTTCAACGTATATTGATGTTGTTTTGATTTGTCAAATAGTGTCTCATTAGCCTTTAACTTTTGAACCATACCTTAACTGCCTGTGTTGTTATATCTGTTTCAGGCCTTAGCAACACCAAGGGAGTTATTTCTTAAGAAGGTTCCATTTC